TCATAATATACCTTTTTTATCATTTAAAAGCTTAATGATGTCATAAACGCTCTGCTGTGTGAGTTTTTCAATTTCCATAGGAAACACTCAAGACTTTCTTCTTCAAAGTGTTATGTTTTTTGTTGTTCTGCATCATTTCATAACCTGTTTCTATTTGAAAAAGCTTTTTAAATACATCCAGTTCGAATGATCGGAAATTTGCTGTGAACTAAATCGATAGGTGTTAAACACGCCACTTGTGGCGCCACAGCTTGCGCCACCAGTGATATTCACTAGATTGTCTTATACAGATCGTGGTTATAGAGTGCAAATATCATTCTGAAGCGATGAAGAAAGATTACTATACTCAAAATTATTTACGTTGTTAACACTGAACAGAAACAAATAATTATATTAAAAATTTATTGCTACTTTAAGAATCATTGCATTATCTATGTCGATAAGCACAACTAATTTTAAATTCATTTTTCTTAGGGCTAAATTTTGCAAAAGCGATGGGCTACAAATATTTTAAACTACAAATCAGTTTTGGCAGTATATACACTAGATATACACTTTGTATGATTTTTATTGTGGACACTGCCTTTCTTGTCCTTACAAAAATAACAAATATGAAACCTTCACCATTACTTGAAGGCTTATCAAACCTAAACGTTTTAAATTTCAATATTATAAAGTTTATTTAGCAGTAAGTTACTCCAGTAAACCATTGTTTGAAAATTATGTAACCATTTTAATTCACTAACCAATACTAGAAATGAGGTATCATAATGTTTTATTTTACTTTACCTTTCTTGTGCACATCAACAATGAAAAAAAATTTATTCCATAAATTGTCGTATATATATTTTTTCAAAAGTATAATTTTTGAGCATTTTCTGTCTTGCCATATTTGGAAAAAATAGCACTTTTTTAGTTTCTTTAACTACATGGACGTAATTTGATTGTAGCGCTATCTATGAATAAGTTTTAAATCTAATGTTAGATATCTATTGTATTATTTCATAATTAGCACAATATCACTTTATGATAGACTTTTTATTTGTTGTTGTTTTTGGTTGCATGTATGATTTTTAAAAGAGGGGAAATATGTATATATATATATATATATATGCATATATGTGTGTGTGTGTGTGTGTATGTACCGATAATGTTTCCATAAATCAAGTGAAAACACTTAAAACAAATTCTTTTTTTCCTTTCTTTGTTAGATCTTTTCAAGCTATGATTATTTAAATGATAGGATCTAGAAAATTGAAAGTTAATCCCTCCCCACAAAAACAAAAAAAAAAAACAAGGTTATGCAAATTATAAAACTATTTCGGAATAATGGATGAATACTGAACTGAAGCATGCGTTAATCCTCCTGTGGGTCAGCGGTAAGTTTATGACTTACAACATTTAAAATCTGGGATTTGATGTACCGCGGTGGACAGAGCATAAGTATGTATAGCTTTACGCTAATTAAAAGAAACGGCAAAATTAAAATCCATATATGCTATTTTATTTCTTTGTGGTTCTTTTAGAAAATGAAATGCATAAACCGAAATTAAATTTTACATAGGTGTGTTACAAAGAAATAGAACTTCGAAAAATATTAAATATTTGATTTTTGAAATAATCCGTCTAAATATTTGGCAAGTAAAATCAATATTCTAATTAACTATTTTTGTTTTTACTTTTCTGTACACATTCCTATTACCTTTCATCTTTTTTTTTTCTAGAGAGTTCAAAATAAGATAATAATTTATATTTTTAAGACCTTGTAGTTTTAATCTCTTAAATGTTTTTAATTTACAGTTAGCATTTGCTGTAAGAAGTAGCATCTCTTGTTTCTTTTACGTTTTTTGTAAAAATAACAAAATGGGTAATTCCTACATGCAATATTTTTATCCTATGCCTAATACATTGTTATGGATAGTAAACGCTAAAAACAATTAAAAATCAAACCTTATTGTTAAATTACATAATTTAAAACCATTAATTATCGGATAATATCAAGTCATTTTAATGTTAATTGGCGCAGTTTAGTGCTGCATCCTAGCATTCGTTTTGCGTGTCTCGTGTTATATTTAATTATACATAAATTTACTAATGAACGATACTGTCGTGCTTACTAGATTGTAGTAACTACTAATTTAAATGTATTTGTGAAATTTGCTGTAAAACATCATTACTGTATTACCCAAAGCATTGGGACAGCTCATTTTGAGAAGGGAGTGTAATATTTCGCCTCTGAGGTTTCATTTTAATAAAGAATATGTCAGTTATTGGCATTATTCACACATGGGATCTGGTACTAACACTTAACACTATCCACTGGAACGCATATGAAGAAATAGACTGCCAATTATTTTTATAAATCAGCAGCTTCAAATGTAATGAGACATTGAAGGAGTGGATGTATGTTTTTGTCCCTCGGGTGATATTTCAAAATATCTCAGAGTGATTTATTTGGATTTAAGTCGGGTTTTGGGGTTGTCCAAATCATATTGCGGACGTAATTTGTTTTAAACTACTGCTGAGCGTTTTAATGTTAACATTCTGAAAGAAATATTGTATTTCATTATAGATTGTCATCAATGCAAACAATGCGGCATTGTTCAAAATGTCATAATACAACAGAGTATTCACGACTTCCTTAACTATTAACAAACCAGCTAAAACGGGACTACACTTTGTCGATAGCAAAAAACGAAAAGCAGGGTATGTTATTCCTCACGATTATTCTTTATTATTCTTCACTCTAATTTCAAGGCTCAGAGCACTATAAAAACTGGCGATTTGTATTCATAACTGTGAAGAAAGGTTGATTTGGATATAAATAGGTGGGCTGAAATGCCTCAGCTACACATAAGGCTAATGTTGCAATCTCTAACCATTGATGTTTCAAGTTCTGTGAGCCCTTTTCTTCATGCTTCTTACCTCTAACCGGTTGTACATGCATCATAGAAATCTAATGGGGACAGGCCAATTACTTGTTAGGGATTTACTATTCCAATAATTTAATATAATATCTGTACTATATTTGATGTTTACAAGATAGCAAGTACATGTTGAACCAAAGTTGGGCCAACATTTTTTTTTTTCGCTCATTGGCTCAACGTTGACTAAACGGCGATAGCCAATATGATGTCAACACTGTTCTAACTTTTAATATTTATTACTTAGATGGCAGAACAAGGTTTGTTCAACGTTGACAAACGTAAGCGTCTGTTTTATTTTATATGTTTTTAACCACACTGTAAAAAAAAACAAAAAAAACATTCTGTACATTTACGAAAATATTGACGGCAGCAGGGTCGCTGGAAAGTTTTTGATTTGAAAAAATTAAGTGTATTCAATGAAGCCCTATAGAGAATACCTTATTTCTTCCGTTTACCAACAAAACAGTAACCATTCCATTTCCTTCAGGAATAATAATTTCCACTTCTATGTAGGGTATTTAATATATATATTTTAAAATTGTTTGTTTGTTTCAGAGTAAAACCATATTGAGCTATTTGCTGTGTCCACTGCGAGGAATTGAACCCCGAATTTTAGTATTATAAGTCCGTAAAATTGCCGTTGTCTCATCTTAGGCCATTCTGTTTTAAATGATAGAATATATATATATTATTATGAGATCTCGTTGATGGCCTGTATTTTATTAAAATGAATGAAAGACTAACTGATTAAATGTAACTCATATTGAGTATACAGTTCATAGCCCATATAATCATATAAATATAGTTATTGAATAATTATTAATGCATTTATTCTACGTTTTGACTGCTAATCTGCTGTCGACTTAAGGGAGATTCAAAGAAAGACTATTTTTGTGGTTGTAACGGCCGAGATTCTGACCAAAATATTTCTACGGAAAGTTTCTTACAGACTTCAGTTTACAATCGAACCTGAGACTCGTTTGGAAAGAAACTTAATGCAATTAAATAATAAATAAATTCATCATAGACATAAAAATAAGTGAATTTTCATTGGCAAAGATAACTTCAAAATTTCACTAAGTAGATTCATAATTCTTTACGGCTCATGACTAACAGATTGATTCTTTGAAGAGTGCGGATATACCAGTTTCCAGTTCCAAGTGTGAAATTCCGTAGAATTCAAACTCCAATGGTCAACTTGTTAATTCCCAACTGAGTGAATTAACGGCTATTACTATTATTAATTAACTAACTGATAGCTGTGGTCAGTTGAAAAGCTCCAGGTTAAAAAACCAAAAAAAGACTACCTTACTAGTTCGCCAGTTAATATGAATAAAAAGGAAATGTGTTAATTCAAATAAATAAGTAAATAATATAAATAATAAACAACTTGGTGTTAAAATTAAATAAATAGGTTGTTGTTAATAAATATTCTAAGCCTGATTCCGTTGTACAATGACTTAAATGATTTGATGAATATTAAAATTCACCAACATAATCTAGTTCACACCAATGCAGATGTTGTATTAGCAGATGATGATGTAAATAGTGTCTCAACCACTATACCCTCAGTCGTGTTGCAGTTGTCCTGATGAAACCTCGTAATTAATAAAAACTCTTGTCTATGTTTGATACAGTATGGTTGGTATATTATTACATTCTTTTTTGCTTTCGTACACAAGGTATTATAATTTATTACGCGATCTCAAATAAAATCATTACTTCTCGTTAAAGACAAGAAACAAAATATCTGTTTTATAATGCTTAGCCCGAGGAAAATACAGTAAGTTAATTTAAATCACTTATGATACCTTTAAACAACAAAGCTAATGTAAAGTTAAAATTAATATACAGTTAAACTAATAACAATTCAGGGGATAAAATCAGTAATACGATGTGTTTTAATAGCATATTGTATTCGAGTAATCAAAGTTAATGAAATATCAAATACAATAATAAATCAATTACATTCCATTTACGAATGTGTGTTTTAAATTTTTTATAGTATATGTAACGTAACTGAAAAACAACAGAGGGCAGTAAGAAGCAACGCCTCTCAATCATGGAGGGTGAGGGGGTAGATGTGAAAGACGTCCAGCTACAAAGAAGTGAGTTACATGGATATGGATTTTCTGTACTTGGAGGATCAGGTTTGGGATTACCCCCCGTAATCTATGAAGTTGTCGAAGATTCACCAGCAGCACTATGTGGGGTGGTAAGTTAGTTATTAAAGTTTAAAAAGTACCTAAAACGTAAATTACTTACTGTCACTGAACGTCTGTGAAGTTAAGTCTGACTCTGAAGTGAACCGAACAGTATGTGAAACTAAAGAGCAAACTACATAGTATACGAAACATAACTTACCAGAAATGCTTTTAAAGTATGATATTTTGTAAGTTACTCAACCTAAAGGTTTGGATCAATTAAGATCTTTATAAGCGGACTGAAATAAAAATATGTTCCAATATTTTTGTTATTAGTAAGTGAATAAATAGCAAATTAAATGCAAGGACAATATAAACAATTTGAAACTCTTGAACTGTTGAAGTATTATATATCTGCAAACACTTCTACATACAGTTACCGTATTTTTCAGTTGAAATTTTTATTAGATCATGTTCAGACTTTGCCATAATTTGTATTGGTTGTAACTTCTACTGTCTAGGAAGGATTCAAATTAAGCTTATCAAACATATAACGCTTACTGTTATTTTTAATTGATTGATATAAGAAATTAATTTATGTACGTTATAACTTAACAAAACGAATGGTATAGGCTACAGTAAAAAGTATTTTCATCAAGAATACCTTGTTGTGCTCTAATTGTTGTATGTGTATTAGTAGTAATTAGTTTATGCACTTTTCACTTATTTATGTAAAGATAATATATATACTTGATGCTGCTTATGATATTGAAAGCTTTTGAAATGTACCAAGACATTTTCTGCTAGATATTAAATAGAATGATTAAATACATTTAAGAGAGTAGTCTGCAACAAATTAGAAACAAACAAACACTGTAGATATGTGATGTGTGGGTGAAAAAGTGTTTTATAATTTTATTAACAAAGTGCATTTGGGAAGGCTTTATAAGATAAACTATCAGTTACAGTATGTAGTGCAGCTAAAATATCATATTGTTTTCTTGCCTTTTTATATTAATTTTACTTTTAGTAAAACATGTTCTTTATGTACCGGAGACGTTTTGGAATACCGATAAGTTGGAACTCCAAAATTTGTTATTCTTCATCAGCCTTCTAGACATTATAAGGAGAAATGTAATGCATTAAACCCAGATTCAAGTGCAGAAATCAGAATTTTTGTTTTTTCTGTAACTATTTTTGATACTAGATTTTTTCTGTTATGCATTTCACTCATGCGTGATAATATTGAAGAAAAACACATGATACCTACATGTAATAATCAAGAGTCACAATCTTGCTTACCATTCATGAAATATAGTCTAAATTATTACTGAACATAAAAGTAAATAAGATTATAAAAATGCTTAGAATTGTTGCACAAACTAAGAATGACTTGTGGGAAAACATTAAGCACAAACAATTCAGTCACTATTTCAAACAGCAGCTTTTTAACCAAGAGTCGTATTATAATCTTTTATTTACTATTTTTCAATATATAATACTATATTCCTGTTTCATGTGGATCAAAATAGAATAATCTTACAAACAAAAATATGGGATCATTAATTTCACTGATTAATTTGATGTTACATAAAGAAAAACAAAGAATTTGTGTAGTGTTAGATTATTATATGATACCTTAATTGTATAACATGGATATATATAACTTTATATTCAACTTGGTAAAATATTGCTCATTTTCAAGCATTGTGTTGTACCATTGTAATGTATAATAAAATCTTATGAGGTTTCCATATGTACTATTGAATCATTTAAGTGTAAACAACAACTTACTTATAACAATATTGAAAAGACAAGGTGACAAAAGACCATTTGGTCTATTTAGGTAATCCCTGATCCCAAAAAAATAGAATAATAATAAAAGGAATAAATGTATTTTAATTTTGTTTAATTTTTTAAGCCAAATTAACTATGACCATTCTCATGGATTCAAATCCATACCACAAATCACATCATCAGGCAAACCATTTTCTATGTCTGTAATATAAGTAATGTGTCAACCACCGCTTCATATCACACCATCCTGAAGAGCACTAGTATTAGATAAAAAGTCTTGTTGGAATTGTATATAGCTGATACACATGTAATGTGATTGGTATGTTATTATACATTCAAAACTTAAACCTATTACCTCCTTGTATTCAAGTTTGTATTTCCAACCTTTTTCTTCCACATCTTGAACAAACAACCCATGGGAAGACTGTTTAATCTCTTTAGAAAATTTAATACCCGAGTCATATACCCCTAAATGTTCTGTGCTGCAGAGAAGACAAGACCATAATCTGTTTATGCTAATATGATTAAAGGATGAACTGCTCAAATGGTTTTAATAGAAAGTATTTTCCATACATGTGATATAAGCAAATACACAGATTGGGCATGTAATCATCTTTGTGTATATTGTATTAGTGATGATGGTACACATTGATTATGTACCAAATAATGAATGACAGGACTCAAAGTAATTTAATTTATGCATGCATGAATTTGTTTTGTTTTTTAAATAATTTCTGACAGTATGTAAGTTATGTAACTTACCACAACATATTATGTTTTGAATCTTTCTCACATGCTCTTTACACTGTGCTGTAGTCTTGGTGGATTCTATGATATGGTAAATGGAGTTAAGAGAGTTTTGAGAAAGGAGAAAATAAAGCATCAACAAACAAAGTATGATACACACAAATGCTTTGAGTATTTATTTAAACTATATTATAGCTGCATATAAACTGTTGAGAAGAAATTATAAAAAATAGCAACTAGCCCATTCACATACCTAGAGCTTAGTCTATGTATGATTTATCTAATAGAGTATAAATTCATGTTGAGAAACAGTTGAACTGATAACTAAATTGTACATGGGATATGGTACCTGAGAATGTGACATTCAAATATTATTAGAATCAACTTTGTCTGTTTATATTTTTGAAAGAACATATCATAGTTCATCACAAGTGTATTTGTTATCAGTGTATATGTGAAGTATGCTGTAATAATGTATATGTTTAATTGATCAATGGAAGTAATTTATATAAAAGCATTACAAAATTTGTATTAAGCAATTTCAATGTTCAGTGCATTCCTTGTACTGAAAGGGATGGGTAAAAAAGACTGTAAAAGTAATTCCCATTTAAGTTATTATGAAAAACATTTCGAGATGCCATTGCATAGGTAAGATTTAAGTGTTAAAGGATGGGGGCCATCAAAATAGTTTTAACTTGTTCAATCACTCCAGTAGGTTTGCACCTGTGGCTTTAGATAGTTAGTGCATAACAGCTAGGTTAGACACTATGTAACTTAAAGTGATTTTAAACTTGTTAATAAATAATTTGGTTATTTTTTGTAGTATTTTACTTAATAAAATCATTTGAATATAGTAATAAACTTTTTAAAAATGAACTATGGATTTTCTTAAAATAATATTTTAAGGTTTTTGTAACCTCTTCAGAAATCATCATAGTGATTAAGGTTTAATTTTGTATTTAATTGGTTTATTTTGGATAGTGTGTTAAATAAATTATTTGTGTGGAGAAAATCATACTTTATTTGTAGTATATTAAATCAGTATGTGGATTAGGTTTCTATGTTTTTTACCATAACTTTAGTTGCTACAAACCTGACAGTCAGGTTTTGTAAAAGAAAATATTTTTTTTTTAAATTGCTGCATTAACTTCTAAGTGTAAGAAATTGATGTAGAATGAGCTTTCTTTTTTTATTATAGAAATACTAGGTAAGGAGTGCACATTATATTTGTTTCATTATTATGTTTACTTCCTTCTAATATTTTTATGATTTGATTTTAAATATAAAATTATAAATAACACTAAAATCTGGATTTATACAAATATGCAAGGCTAAAAATTAAGCTAAAAAAGGTAATTTTTTGAAAAAAGATTTCAAAACGAGGAATGCCGGTTTATTGTGAATTTATGCAATGTGACATTTTGAATACAATTCATGGTGTAAATTAGCCTAATATCTTTCCAAAACTTGTAGATATATATATACCAATGTAACTAATAAGTGGAAAGTGTTAATATTTAGTTGTCTTGTTTAAGCAAGTTGTTTTGTACCTCATGTTCTTATATTGTAAGTGTTTAGTAGTTTTAAGTTGTGGATAGGAATGTAATTATTAGCTTAAATTTATTTTGTTTTAATGAATGAATCAGTATGATAGTCAATTTTTTATAAGTGCTTGAAATGAATACAAATGTTATTCTCTTGAAATTGAAGCAGAATTTTTTTTCTTTTCTAACTTGATATTTTTTTGCCAAAGTGAATATTCTTGATTGGAAAATTTAATGTACTTTAACTTTGAAGATTCTTATTTTAAAACTAAATGTTTTTAGATGTTAATAATCTATTAATTTGAAAATATATGAAACTACTTCTGTTAATCTGCTGAAAATGAATAGCAAACATTTTCTAAAATGAAGTGTTACCCATAGTATTTCTTTGAATCTGCAGTATATCCTTCCATCTTTGGAAGGATAGTCTTCTTCTTTGTTAGGAATAAGAATAGGATATATATGATATCATCTTGTAGGACACCAAGTGTTCTAAGCCTTTATGATGCGAAATGGCATACCAGGCACAGTCAGCCAAGCAATGAAATTTTTTCAAAGTTAAGATTTATTGAATTGCATTAGATATTTCATAAAATTGAGGGTAGTTTAACTCCTGGATTTGATGTAGTAGTATTTTCCATTCTAATATTTCAGAAAGGTTTATTGTTCATTTTATGGAATTTTCCAACAAAACTACTAAATCAGTTTGACAGAATGTTCATAACAAGAGCTGCATGTTTTACAAACATTTTTATCTATATCAAAAATTATAGTTCTTTGGAGCTGAATTTGTCTAGAGAAGAGTACATTTTAGACTATGACATTATGGTCTGTATGAATATATTTGACCCACTTTCATGAATATTCCATTATATCCAGATTTAGTTTGGAGTGAAAGGTTTTTGTTATTTTTTTGGTCATGACCATTGAAAGTTAATATCTTCTGTGATCTATTAACAGTCATATGGCTTAAAATTTTTGAT